TTTCAAGTATGCAATCATGAAATAATTGAAACAAATAAGATAACAGAAGTATAAACCACCACGCTTGCTACAGGCGAAGAGGTGAAATCCAACTGTGTACAACACGAAAAAATTCAAAATATACAATCTTAGGCGAAAATGATTTTATTGCAAATGTGGTATCCTCTGCATAGCAGGTCAAGAGCTGATTGTAGTCATTTCCAATTTAGGAAAATCATTTAAATAGTGGTGCTTTATTAAATTTTAATAAAGCACCAGAACAAAAGAGAAACTTTGCGGAGCTCCTACACGGCAGTTCTTCGAGGAAGAATATGTTGAGCTTTGTTTTACTGCAAATGTGCGCTCTTCGATAGAGGATTTAAGAATTAGATAATTTCTTTGCTGAAATTCAAAGACAGCAGCTTGTAAATTATTAGCCCATTATGCCAAACGTGGTCGATAGCTTTCACAACTCTACAATCTTCAATAATTGCTTCGTTGTGTTTAATTATTTTTTAAATCCAAACTGCTTGTCTAGAAGTAGATCTAAAAAAGGCTTGAACTAACGCAGGATCAACTTTTTAAGTAATTTTCCAATTTCTGATAGAAGGCTAATCGGGCAGAATCCACCCAGGGCCGTATGATTTTTTCCAGACTTTGGGGACTGGAATATGTTCTCCTTTTTCCATGGTCAATTGAAGTATAAGTGCACTTTGTCATCACAAAGTTAACGAGCACAATGTATTCGTGCAAGGCACGAATACATTGTGCTCGTTAACTTTGTGATGACATTAATTTCCATTTCATACATTACATGGAATAACATGCTTCTCGGTAAGCATGTTGTTCCTTTCCACCCTCGCCTGGCGCTTTTCTTGAGAACAGCCTCCTGACAATAGCTTAGATTTCTCCTAGAATCGTGAGTTCGATGACGTTAGCTACAGGCGAGTTGAGTCAGTCATCAGCGTATGTGTTCATCTGCCCGGTAAAAAACTGATCAGCAGGGTTGGAATTGGAAATAAATTGTATTTCCAAGTGCTTCGCAAAAATTTCTGCTTTTTCTCTATCAGTGTGTGCTGTATGATTTTCAAAGTGAAGAGTCTCTCTGTACACTGGGTTCTCCCTTTTTTTTTTGAGAATTTCCAAAGCAAGACGATAGATATTCAAATTTCCGATTATCTCTCTCTATGTCCCTTTCTTGTGTTCCTTAGTTTGGTGCTTAATGTCTTTGCTGATTATGTTAATATTAGATTTAGTTTCCGGGTTCCAGGGGATGCGATTATGTTTCCTAAGTCGATTCTTAATTCCCATGAGCTTTCTAATCTTCCCAGGCAGTTGCGAAATGAAGGGCTGCATTATACTACAGTTATAGGCTCATTATGTGCATGCCTAATTGCATTAATAGTTGCATCAGCGCAAAGTCTGGCATGAAAGCCATCAAGCTTTGGAGGGTAATTTTTAAAACATTATGAAACAGGCGCCAATCCATGTTGGCCTTGAGCTTTGGAGATATTGGCTTTCGATTCGAATTTTTTTCAAGACTGGGAAGTCCGATGAGAGTTCAATTTCCTCAAGGGTCATGGGAATGCTAGTACTGGTGAGGCAAAAGTCCAAGAGCTCTCGGAGTCATATTTATGTACGGTAACATGAGCACGAATTTGGTGCAGCATCGGATTCTGGAAGCTTCGGGAAAAATCAGTAGTCAAAGCCGCCGAGGAGAGTATTTGTTCGTATCTCGCGTTCTACTTGAGTCAGAACTGAAAACATTACAATTCTGTATACGAAATAAACATTATGTATAATAAAAAATAAATAATAAAATAATTACTCCAAAAGCTGCAAATAAGTATATAAATTCACAATATTCCAACAAAACAAACAAATAAGAAGGCAATCAAATTAACTTAAATATGCACAGAAATTTTCAATAGTAAGCTGAGGCCCATTTCAGAGAGTGTAAGAAATTCTTCTTAATCCCAGCCTGAATTCATTTAAAGATTTTTTTGGAAAATTAAATTTTTAAACCTGTTTCGCTTGGGAATTAAAAAAAGCTTTGAACTTTTAATGGTAACTTACATTAATCGTTTCAGTTGAAACGAACAGACGGAACCGTTTATGAACAGTTGAACAATTAAAGATCATTTGAAACGTTTATCAACAGTATCTTCTTTTCATACATTAAAATTTAAAGGAAAATATTTTTCATTATTTTTCTATAGATACTTCAATCATGCGTTTCGAGATAAAAGTTTATTTTCAACTATAAAAGTTTCTATAGCTGTAAATATTTCTAATGATCCATCCAACTCTATTTTTCCATACTGAACACGTGTTAAAATAAACTTCAAAATTTTTTTCACGGTTTTAAAAAGAAAACAGTAGTTTTTATAAAATTTTTAATTTTATATTAAAGGTAAATACATAACAATGTTTTCCTTAAAGTGACATGTTAAATCATTCAGATTTTTAAAAATATCTGACAAATAATACAGTTTTAATAGCCATACTTCACGGTGGAAAAAAATCAACGAAATTGGGGATCTGCTTACAAGTTTAATTAAAAATATAAAAGTTTCAACTTTCAACTGTAACTATTTGTATAAACTTCATTTTCTTAAGGACCACTGTACTCCTGCATGTAGCAAACTCATTAAATTTTGGTGGTTGGGATTTCATATCGATGCGAAATGCTTTTTGTGAAATTAATGATTTTTATAGCATCACAAAGCACAACACTTAAACAGGTTGGCAATTTTCTGAACTTAATTAATTAATTTTTCGGCTACGACTGCTCGACGGATCATGTAGAGAGTAAAAAACGATGGGTTCATCACCATTAGCTTTAATCTTTGGGTACGTATATAGTATTTGCAACAACCATTGCTCCACTACCGTCTATATAGGCACCGATGCAATTACTCCACAGCAAACCTTCTTTTATGAAAAATTCACCAACTTCAAGATTAATATCTCCCACTCTTGTACGAGTTTCCAAAGGGTTGACAATTCAATAATTCTTTAAGAAGGAAGTCCTTCATACGCATATCTTAGATAAACTAACTAATTGTACACTGCGCAGAAAAAAAAGAAGAAAAAAAAACGGGGGGGGGGGACAGTTTTTATATCTCCCGTTCTACTGGGCCGATTGACAAAATTCAAATTCCGTTTTTCATGTTTCGAAAGCGCGACTTAAGATATATATTAGACATATTTATAGTACTGTTCTAACATAGGTATTTTGACACAAAATCGGAATTTTCTGAAATAACATACCAATTATACTTTTTTTCATATGTCGATTCTACGACTCAAATTATGCCCAGATATTAAGTTTTGTAAAACTTAGTTCGAAATTTACGGAGAAATTCAAAAATTTATCTTGGCAAAATTTTTTCAGTTTGGCCAAAAATAATTCACTTGGCGAACTTATTAATATATGGCAACCAATTTTCCTTTCCCTTCCATTATGCCGGAGCGGCAAAAAAGGCACCTTGTTCTTAACTTTTTACATTATGTATGAGAGGAAAAAAAGGTTCTACTTGCAAATAATTTTAGCAAAGTGTTTAAACCACATATGATGTTTTATCGCTTTCAACAACTATGCCAAATTTCAAAACGCTCCAATATATAAATTCACGTATATCTCCTGAAATTTTGAATAAAATTTGTATTTTTTGCAGGTATCCTTAGAAATACGTCTACTTTAAGATGATGGTAAAACATTTATAGCTTATAATTCAATTTTTTTTTTTTTTTTTTTTGAAAAATGTATAAAAATATTTTAAAACACAATTTAAAAAAATAAATCATAAAAATGGGTGAATTTTATTTGGAAGGAACCTGAATTTCGAAATGTGAAAGGTGTGTGTATTGTGGCATTATTTAATTATGGCAAAGCACACTAGGGCTACCTGCCTAAGGGGAGGGATGCCTTTCGTGGAGGACTTTCTAAGGGAAACTGGCTCGTATACACGTTACACATGGGGAAAACAACGAAAACGCCCATTCAGCCAGCCCGTTCGCGGGATTCGAACCAGTGTTCAGCGTCTTTACCGCTCGGCCGCTTTTGGACCCGAAATGTGAAAGGAAGAATGAAATAAGCTTAATAAAAGAAGAGAGATTAATCAATGTATACCAAACTGAATTAACATTGAGGAGCTAAAATTTTGAGAGCTCATTTTTTTTTAAACTACTCGTGCGATTTTTACAAAACTTGGTAATTTGACGTAATTTGAGTCGTAGAATTGAAATATGGAAAAATATTGGTATGTTATTTCAGTAGAAATCCGATTTTGTGTCAAAATACCGATATTAGAACAATGATATGTATAAATCTGATACATATCCTAAGCCGAACTTTCGAGACATAAAAAAACGCAAGTTGAATTTAGTCAATCGACCCAGTAGATTGGGAGATAGAACTGTCTCACCATAATTATAATCCCATAATTAATAATTATTTTATGAATGCCTCGTATGCCTAACTCACATTAGGTAGTGAGGTACGCAGCCAGCGAACGTATTAGTTTATGAGAAATCGTGCTATTACTCTCCTTGTTACATCTGCAAATGGTAAATTTGATTCCTATTCATCTGATAATTCTTTGCGTAAATGCTTACATCTTATCAGCTTTGTAATTACTAATTAACACACACAGTATCTTTCATAGAATTGTTTATGAATAAATTTGCGTTAATTATCTTTTCTCAAATTAGCCTTTGATTTTGTTCACTAAGATATTTTTTATGGAAAGAAATTGAGTTGTTTATGATTAATAACTTCTATAATTAAAAGTCTAAATATAATAAGATAAAATCAAAACATAATATCTTACAATCCGAAAAATACTACAATGAAAATAATCGTAATTTAAAGTATTAGATAATGAATTCCTGTTTTCTGTAAGAAGGAAAGATTTTTTCTCTGATAGGCATTTTCCAAAAATTATAGAATTTCCTTAATGTTTCAAGGTCGAATCATTTTCATTGTTTAATTCTGACGACTAAGATCAACCAAATATTACTTTATCAACATTTCATCCCTAGCGACAGGCATCTCAGGAACTGACAACTGAAAAGTGTAATTTACGTACTTTGGTCCTGTTTGACTGTATTATCAAAGAAGGTAAGAATTAATACTCCGTATGGAAACAGATAACTGTTACAGTTAATAATGATTTACTAATGTTCGCTTTTTAAAACTAAACAAGTAAAATTTAATATTTTTATGCACATAATTAGATTTAACTTTGTTCAGGGCCAACGTAAGCTTATTTTAGCTCAAAATCAAATAAATTTGAAACTAAAGCCCATTCTTTAAGCACTGGAGCAACAAGAAAGTTTAATAAATTCATAGTTTGATATATATAATATATATTGCTTAAACCAGTGGTTTTCAACTGGGCGAAATTTCGTAGTTTCAGGAGGAGAATATTGCAGCCTTTGATATAGCTGTTAAATATTTACTTCTATTTTATGAGGATTAAACAAAACTACTTTTATTTAAGTTTGTATCAAAGTTTTATAAACGGTGTGCTGTTTAATTTGTAAAGCACATAAAAAATAATGTATATCTAAATAAATGTATACGTATTTTTCAAGTTTTGGGAAGAATCTCTTCTTCTAAAAACTTGAAAAGTGCGTATGCATTTATTTAGATAAACACTATGATAGTGGTTTATGGGTCAAAATAGGTTGAGAACCGCTGGATTAAATATTAGCAGAACTATAATTATCAGATGTAAATAATCAGGTGTAGTTAGATCCACTTATGTAAAATGCTGGATCATCTAAATATTCGACCTACCAAGTGGCCGAGTGGTAAAGTCACTAAACACTGGTAATGCTGTCCAATGCTCGAGTGGTAAAGTCACTAAACACTGGTAATGCTGTCCAATGCTCGAGTCCCGGCAAACAGGCTACTGCATAAGCGTCTTAGTGATTTTCCCCATGTGTAACGTATACACGAGCCAGTTTCCTTTAGGAAGTCTTCCACGAAAGCATCCCTCCCCTTAGGCAGATAGCTCTAGGGTGCTTCGCCGTAATTAAGTAAAACCAGATCATCAGGAAATTTATTAATTTGCATTACGATTTAGGGGCATTAAACTGTATTACCTAAGTATGCTAAATTTAAATTTTTAAAATAAATTATGTATATTTTATTTTTATAAATGGTATATTTAACTTATGTCTTACAATTAAATTAAAAAATTATCATATGCGGAAATTCAAATTAGTATATAGTGATACGTTTCATGCTTCTTTTCCTTCCATACGATTTAAGTACGTTAAACGTAATAGGGCATAAAATATTTTTACTTTTCCTGGTAGGTTTACAGCCCGTTTCCATTACTGCGGTACGTATGCGTTTGTCCAATCAGCGAACGAACTAACTTTGAGTGACACTGTGGTACACTGCCGGAAGGCGGACTGCATAGAGTTAAACCATGTTCAATTTCTATCAGTATGTCTGCAAAAGCGTTACGAGTAACGTGTTAAAAGTGGAGCAATCAGGCGCTGTCAACAAAAAATAATGGCGACAGGAGCAACAATGAAAGCTGGATCAAGGAAAGAATGATTTTCTAAAAAAACACTTCTTTATGAATTACAGAAACTTGGATATAATAGCGAGAAATCTGAGCATTAAAAAAAACTGCAATCTATTGAATCTAATTAAAAAAGGAGGGGGGCCAACTACAACTACGATACTTGTTCACGTAGGGCAGTGATAACTGTCAGGAAATTTAGGCATTAAAAAGTACGGTTGGTTTTGTTTATTTAATTATAGCAAAGCACACTAGGGCTATCTGCCTAAAGGGAGGGAGGACTTTCTAAGGGAAACTGCCTCACGTTACACACGAGGAAAACCATGAAAACATCCATACAGCTAGTCCGTTCGCGGGACTCGAACCTCGGACCGAACTACAGTGTTCAGCGACCTTACCGCTCGGCCGCTGTTGGGCCTATCAAAACGTATGATTCAAATCGTTGAATTAGCAAAAGTTTCTTTGAAAATTATTTTCTAGTACATCTGCATACACATTTACTTTTAATGAAAATGAATGTCTGAGTATCTCAAACTGCTATAGGAATTCTGATAAGGCATTAGCAGATTTTCTTATCTTTTGAAACAGGTAAAAAGTTAATAACATGATTTAGATATTAAATTTTATAGCATTTTTAGCATTAAAATATGCTAAATTTGTATTTCTCTATTTATAAATATACTTTTATAGTTAATACATATTTGTAAGCACATCTTTTATTTTGAATATATTTTTAGCAGTCAGTCTAACTTCAATCAAACACCGCTCTGAAAAAATGTTTTCTTTGGAAATGCCCTAGAAGCTCAAAACTAAACTCTGATGAAATTTTTAGGCGATAGCACAATGAGATAGCACCAAAAAAATTAGTTTAAAAACTCATTAATATGATCTTACAGGTATGCCAAATTTGGTAGCTAAAGTCTTTTTGTGACAAAAGCGTGGAGGTGAATGTGGTAGTGCTGCTTCACTTACTGGGTCGTGAATTCGAATCCTGTGCTCTGTTTTCGATCCTGTCTGAAACTTTCTTAGCTTTGTGTTCCAATTTGATCTACATTTGTGTTTCGTAATTTATTTATATTATTATATGTATTAAATCTAATATATTATTTATATTATTTATTTTAATTTTTAATTTTCTCTGCAAGAATTTATTTTTAGAGTTACAACAATAAATTAAAGCCTACTGCCTGAATAGATACATATGTTTTCGTTTTCCTTTTATGTGAATGTACAATGACTTTGGGATGTTTTATTTATATAGTAGAGAATGGATTTCTATATCACTTCAAAATACTTACCAAAATTTATTATGAAGAGATGTTCTTTAATATATATAAAAGGAAACAAAAGTTTATCTATATACCTTTTTCATTAAAAGAGATATGAATTTAAAGTTTATAATTTGGAAATAATATTTTGTGTATTATTCATAAAATGTAACTGCGCATAGAGCATTTTAAATCATATAAAACGAGGTTTCTAATAAATTATCCAGCTATTACACTAAAGAAATTGATGATAAAATTTCATGTTACATTTTATCTATGTTTCCTCAAAATTTAGGTTTATTTTAAAAATATAGAATCCCACATGGCAGTCGGTTGTATATAGTGAAAAACACTGCTAATTCTGTGCAAATATTGCTAACCTTTAGCTACAGTTGCTCTGTATTTCAAAACCACCGGCTAGTTTTACATGTGTTTAACATTTTTATTTGTTTTGCCCTAACAGTACATTTTAGTTTTATTTCATAAATAGTTATAGCTTTTGAAATGCAGGGACATTTTTAAAAACTGCCTAAGCTTCTATGAAATTAGATATGTTCATAATGTGCATTATAACCTTACTAATCTAAAACTTGGTAACACGCTTCACTTTCACAGTTGATAAGCAGAAATAAAAATTCCCAATCAAATTGAATTTAAGTATTTTACAAATGCCCGAATTTCGTAAGATAAATACAGACATATCTGATGGCAATAAAATGCAACTAATCACTGAACTCCCGCAAGCGCGAATCTAAAGCAGTAGTATAAACGGTCGTCCATTCTAAATGCGTTTTCCCTAATGACTCTATCCGTTCGAAACACGTTAACGGAAACGGAGCTTTACATGTACAGTTTCAGTGTATGAAAAGTATGCTTACATTCTGAGTAGCATTTTACACCTGGACTTTGTTTTCCTCCGAACGTGTAGTTTTGATAGCATGCCCATATGACAAAATATTACATGCACATAATTTTCCGTGGAACGTTCCGTTGTATCTTCTAAAAAAGACAATAGAATATTTCGTTATCCGAAAGATCATTAAGGGAAAGCAGATGCCATATTATATTTATTTACATATTATTGCTACTATTATCTCCCCTTGAATTTATTCTTTACATGCCATACAGCAGACAAATTGCTTTCCTCGTAGATTTCACTGTCTTAGCAACTTCTGTTTATTGTTCTTTTACCAATAACGCACAAGGAAATTCCCTCTAAACAGAAATTATTGAGATAATACTTCAGCCAATTATCTGTAGGTGTTTTGTCTTTCTTTTCCGGAATATAAGTTATGATGAATAAAGCAAACAGATTTCTATTACGTACTCTAAAGGGATGATATCTGATTTCCTTTACTAAAATATGTATATGTTATAGTATTTTATTATTCAAAGAGAGTCATATTTTCGTTATCATTGTACTTAAAAGAGACTGACTGTAAACTCATAATATGTTTGCCTGATTTTATAGTAACACTTTCCGAACAGTGAAATGACTTATTACGGAAAAAAGTTTAAGACAAATATATGATTTTCAATAACGCGAATTTAGAAGAAAATAAAGCTACCTTACTTTAGCCATAATTAAAGCTAAAATGCAAATAGAAGGAAAAGGCAATATTGAATTTAAAAGGTATTTCTCCTGTCTTCTTAGCATGCCTTCGTGGTGTGGTGGTGTGCACACGCTGGGTGCGTAAGTCCGTGGTTCGATTCCTGGCGAAGGCGTTGCTCATTCTTCACTTCTCTTGCTTCCAAAAAAAAATCCTAATGTCTCTACGTTGGGCGCATATTCCAGAGGTCCGTGGTTTGATTCTCGGCGAAGGCGTTGCTCATTTTTCATCATTTCTGCTTCCAAAAAATACCTAATGTCTGTACAAATTTGTATACTACTAATGTACTACAATAAAACAAATTCCAAATTTCAAATTTGGGCTTCTAGATGCCCATATTCGCAGGAGGATTACGTTATTCAAAATTGGATGGTTCTAGGTACCGTTGTTTTATCACAATGCGAGAAACATACATACATTTATGCATATTCTTCATTGTTTAATTTATTTCAGTATAATACAGGGCGATAATATTTGGTGGCAACAACTTGAAAAGTCGAACAACGCTTGTAGTGAATCAACGCAAAATGCCAAAACGAAATTAATAGTCCTTCTGTGCAAATTGCCCGTTTTGAACTAAAAATTACTATACCTATACTAACTTTTTACTATACTATACTTACTTACTATACTAATTACTATACTAACTTTTTACTATACTATACTTACTTACTATACTAATTACTATACTAACTTTTTATA